CAGCTTAAACGTGAAGCAGCCGAAGAATCCGGTAATGAGTCCCACCTCCCTCTAGCGCGCGCCCCTCCAGCGAGAGCGGCGCGCGTCCCTCCAGAGAACAACGTGTGCTCCCGCGGGGCTAAGCAGCCTTCACTCCAACAGCACGGTGTAAATGAAGTCACGCCCTCCGCCTTTCAACGTTCGCACAGCGACGTCAAACGCGCAGCCCCACCGCGTCATTAGCTGTCACACGCTTCGCCTTCAGCTCAAGTCTCGCCCGGGGTCACACAGAAAACATTCCCGCGACGCATGACGGCGGTTGAGGGACGGACTGCTGACAGCCGTACAAAACATGACGCATCATTAACGCACGTTCATCCACGAACGTTACGTAGAGTGGCAAAACATGCTCGCCGTTTTTCAGATGGATGGACAGGGTTTATGCAAATGGTACAAGTTACAGTTTGCAACCCGAACCCCTCCATTCAGAGGAGTTATATAAACGGTCCCGTCATCATCATCAGACTGATTCTCTTCCCTAAATGCAGAAATCCAAGTGTTTTCTGATAAAAGTAATCTACAGAGTTCCCCAAGGGAGAGAAAACACGAGGGTTTTTACTCACGGATCGGAGGGGTGAGACCGTTCTTGGATCTGTTGTTTTAACATCCAGAGAACGCATACCGATCATCCTAAAACACAGAGACGAGAGTTTTTTGTTTTTACCTGGATGATCTGCGGATCCTGTCACTTCAGACAGGAGGCGCTGATGCAGGATCAGGTGTTGACATCACACCTGTTAATCTGGGCTTCGCCATAAGTGGAAGGAAGCTCGATTTTCCCGGCCCAGACATTTGTTTTTCTGGAGTGGAATTAAATTCAACCACCATGAAAACTCATTTATCACATGAGACGCCTCTAGAGGTGTTTTTTGCACGTCTGCATGTGGATCCAGTAAAACAACGACGGATGATCATTGTCTTTTCCTCTGTGGAAGCAGACCTCCGACTCTGGGGAAACACCTTGTTTTTCTATCAGAGGGAGTCCCCCTCAGCAGACCCACGTCATGGGTCAGTCTTCACGGACACGTTGCTGTCAGGCTGGGGGGGGGACATACCTATCTCAAGCAGTAGGGGCGCTGTGGCCCCACTACACATCAGCCCACATCAATGTTTTGGAGTGTCGCACAGTACTGAATGTGATTCAACACCTTGCTCCTGTGCTACAGAATCAACACGTGTTGATTCACACAGACATCATGATGACTGCTGCATACATAACCATCAGGGTGTGCGTTCAGCCAGATGTTACACATTGTGCGAAAGCTACTGAGTTGGGTTCATCAAAACCTGCTTTTATTAGAGCGGTTTACATATCCGGTGTTCTGATGTGACGTCCAAGGGCGGCCCACGTTACGTGGACCGGATCCTCCATCCGGATCTGATGTTTTTCAGACGCAGCAGAAGTTGGCAAAGCAGCTGTGGACCTGTTTGCGATGCGAGAAGAACGCTCAATGTCAACTACGGTTTTCCCTGAGCCCGCGAGACGATCCATCGCTGGGGGGGGACGCATTTGCTCACAGTCGGTGGCCCAAAACGCTTTTTACGCGTTTCTTTCCCCCCCACCTCCTCTGTTTTTTTACGGTCCATGAACCGAGTTCAAGAGGAGGGATTGACAGCCCTCCTTGGTGGCTCCCGGCGTGTGAACGCACTATGGTTCCCAGGCCTGCAACGTCTGTTGTTGGGTCGCCGTGGAACTGTCATGGAGGAAGGATGCTCTCCTTCAGGCAGGAGGAGCGACCAAGAGTTACCCAGAAATAGGTCAACACCGGTGGGTCTGACCGCTGAGCGGTTCCACTTAGAGGATGGGTCTCCCTCAGGAGATAGTGTGCACAATTCAAGATTCACGTGCTGCATCTACCACAGTTCTGTACACATCAAGGGGACGGCTTTTCAGCGCTGGTGCACAGAGAAGGTTTAGAGACCACCTCATGCCTTTTAAGCGGCGTGTTGTTTTTCTACAACAGCTGATGGATAGGGAGTTGGCTTTCAGTACGCTTTAACGTACGATTGCAGCCATCTCTTCCTGCCACAAAGGGTTTGGAGACAGAACAGCTTTTATCACCCGCTGATGAAGCGGTTTCTAAAAGGTGTACAGAGATGTAGGCCTGTTTTTCACGCCCACTTGTTTTCCACAGTGGGTTTAACGCTGGTCCTGCGAGCCCTGATCAAAGCTTCAATTGAGCCTCTGGATCAGGTTTCATTTAAATTCTTGTCTCTTTTAACAGCCCTGTTGCTGGTTTTAACACCCGCTAAGAGGGTAAGTATTTATCTGCCCTCTCTGTTGCTTCGTCATGCCTTAGAATTAGGCTGACGGGCAGCTCAGCTGATTTAAGACCAACCCAGCTTTTATGCCTAAAACATCACGAGCTCTTTTAAATCAAGAGTGATATCGTTGGAGGGGTCTTTTCCCCCCCACAGATCAGAAGAGGAAGCATCTTTTCATCTTCTCTGCCCGGTGCGGGCGTTGACGTGTTACATAACGCACACAGCTGCAATGCGTTTCAAACTCAACAATGGTTTGTGCATTATAGAGATGCTTCTACAGGTCGCCGTTATCCATCCAGCGCTTGTCACACTGGCTGTGTGAGGCCTTTTCTGAAGCCTACAGAGCATCAGATTTAGAGCCTCCTGTCAACCTCTAAGCACACTCGACCAGGGGTATCGCATCTTCGACTGCTCTGCATAATGGTATGTCAATGCAGGACATCTGCACTGCGGCTGCATGGTCAACACCCTGCTCATTTATTCGCTTTTACCTACGTGATGTAACGGCTCGTTCCATGACACATTCTGTCCTTAGTGCTCTAACAGAATGAATATTATTGTTCTCATGGAACTCTGTTTAAACTCACTTCTGTCTGCATGCATTACAGTGTGAGATGTTGTTATCAGTCACAAGTCGTGTCTGTGATTTTGGTTATATTGTCACTAATCAGTTCATGATTATTGTTACCAATCAGTTCAATTGATTTATAATCAATTTATGGACATTAATCTGTTTATACTGTTCAGCCATGAACCAGTTGGTTCATGCCCCCCCCCCCCCCCCCTCTTTTCAACTTCTTCTTCCCGTTGAAAGTTTTCCGGGGTATTCATGCTTTGTCAGAACGCATAGCTACACAACATGCGTCTGTGCATGGCACATAATTACACGATGCGTAGTTATGCACATGGGGAGCTGAGTGACAAGACGTTTTTTGGGCAAGCTTCCGCTTCTTACTGTGTTCGAATGGACCCAGTGAGGCGAGGACCACATCGGCTTCGCCCTTTACCCACTAAAGCGAAGGCCTTAAAGGGCGAAGCTTATATGACATAGAACGTTGGTTACGTACTGTAACCCCAGATTCTATGAATATAAGCGTAGCCCTTTAAGCGTCGGGCCTCACTGGCTCCTAAATGGCTGAAGAAAAAAGCTATTTTGGGAGCCGATTTCCCGCTCTTAACGTAATTTATACGGACCGGGTAGGGCCCACACAGCAGGTGGGCGTGGACTAATTTTTTTTCAGTGCTTATGCTCTGCATAACGGGATAAACCCACTAAAGCGAAGGCCTTAAAGGGCTACGCTTATATTCATAGAATCTGGGGTTACAGTACGTAACCAACGTTTGTCTTAAAACTTTTATTATTTTAATAAATCAAATGGGTATTGTTCTCTTGTAAGATTCACCTAATTTTTTAAGCTGACGTTATTTCTTATAGTTAACATTGTAACTAAATATTTGCTTAAATATTCAATAAATAGGGGTACCTTTTAGGGATGCACGATATTATCGGCATGGTATCGTATCGGCCATATTAGTGATAAAGTTAAATATCGGATATTGACCATTCATCAAAATAACTCACTGATATGAAAGGCTTCTGTTTTAAGTTAAGTTTTTAATTTAAGAAGCTGTCAAGTATATATATTAATGCACTACTACTTATGTGCTTTCCACTTGTCGCTTGTGAACAGGTTAGATTTGTGAAAATTTACAAATTTGCACTGTTCGTATTGTCATTGTGTTATAGAGTAAATTTCATGAATAAATTTGACATTAAACATAATCCAAGTTCAAGTGTTGCATCATTTTCAGCCCCTGTATTTTGTAGCAGGCCAAATTGACAAAGACCATGCTGAGTAATGTAGTATTTTAATTCCACAGCAGAGAAAACTGTTCTCTGTAAGTAGATCCAGGGGAAAATATCGGTATCTATATCGGTTATCGGCCAAATAAGTTTTAACATATCGGCCAAAAATCCAATATTGTGCATTCCTAGTACCTTTGCTTTAATGTATTTTACATGATTTTTTTTTAATTAATATTCCAAACTTAAAAAAAACAAAACTTTAGTGTCCTGAAAATGAGTATGTCTCTTAACAGAAGCAGTTTTTATACCCGTGTACATTCTTTGCTATGTTGACCTCTTCAGAGATGCATTAGTTACAGTATGTCATCACTTTAAATCTAGTTATTATACAGAAAGATGAAAAAGTTAAAAGATAAGGGTGTTTGATGCTTTCATATACAAAATAACAGAAAGCACTGTGAAGTGAAATGTGTACAGGTTTTGTTTGTGTAAAGATTGAATGAAAGTCATTTTTGTGCTGCTGCTCTTGCACTGCAAACTCGCTGTAGCTGTTTGAGGCTTGTGACAGGAAGGAAGGGGCTTGCTGTCTCATTGGCAGGCCCTCTAAGTAGGGCAAGGCTTGTCACATGCCGGCGATATGAACACAAAGGATGCGAGGAATGAGAGAGGCATGCAGATAATAAGATACAGTGAGGAAAGATAGAATGAAGAAATGCTACTCTTCTTACAAAGCTGTTTCCTCTGGGAAAAGGGACAGACTGGGATCTTTTTCACGGTCAATGAAGGCATGGCAGCATGCCAATTAACCCCCTGACTGAGTAGATTTTACTAGGAATTACAGTTTGAACTGACTCATTCATGTTTTTCTCAACTTTTTTTTGTGCTTTAGGAGTGGGAGCTAGTGGTGCTTGGGAAGTTGAAGTGGAACATCGCCTCGGTTATCCCCAATGATTTTATAGAGCACATCATGCGCAGGCTGCCCCTTCCCAAAGACAAGATGGCGATGGTCCGCAAGCACACGCTGACATTCATTGCCCTTTGTGCCACAGGTAACTCAACCGCATAACATTAAAGGTACTTTTTTGTACTAGTTTGCTGTCTTCTTTTCCCCCCTACATCCACTATGTTCCCACACACACAAACATTCTCTCATTGTGAGTCATCTGTGATGTCTTTTATTTCTGCAGACTGCTTTAAGCACTTTCTTGTCTTTCCAAAGCCTCTAGTAAACTTCTTTTTTTCTGCACAGCTGCTACAGCGAAGTGCCTGGGGAAACTCCGTATCAGTTCTGTGTTTAGATTTGTCACATTCACTTGTAATCATTGTATCATGCTGCAAGCTGTGCTCGTGCAGACGCACCGCTGAATGAGTGAAGTGCAGCTGAACTCCTGTACCGCTCGCCCTGCATTGTTTGTTGACAGGGAACCTTCCAGGTTTAAAGAGTCGGAGCAGTGATCTTCCTTCCTCCTCCCATCCTGGCCTCGCGTCCAAAATAAACTCTAGAGACTCTGAAAAAAGCAAAGGGGAAAAGCACAACTCGTGCCCCCTCAGGCCTTTGCTTTAGCAGCATTTTCATGTCATTCCTCTATGTACACAAGGAATCCTTTAATATGTTCATATCCCGAACAAAAACAGTATTGCAGGATCACCTAATGCACGTGAGACTTTGTCACGATGCTGCTTTTTATCTCCCAACACTTCTCAGCTAATACAGTGAAGGAAATGAAACAAAGGAGGTCATTTGGGTGTGATTAAAATTCCTCGCTAACGTCAGCGTGGTCAGATCTGGCCAATTGGTGCTTGTTTACTCGAGAAAACAAGATTCCCCTAATGAGTTTCCTGCCCTGTTCAGCACAGTTTTACTGTCACTTATTTAAATTATATATATATATATATATATATATATTTGGGTGTGTTTCAGTGGTTGCTTCTGCTATTCATAAGCAGCTGCTTGTATCAAAGCACAAAGCAACCACAGTAGGGAGGGAAAAAAAATGGAAGCCTGCTGTGGTTTAAGCAGTAATGTAAATGTTTGGAGTTTTATGCAGAGTTGAGAAGTTATTCTTATATTGGGGAGCTCCTCCTTTGGACAGATGGTTTCCTGGGTGCAGTCAACTAGGCTCTTCTTCAGGATTCTATCAAAGCTATCAGGCCACCAGGACTTGCTTGCATTGTGTTGAGAAAAACCCAGTTTAACGCTTAACAAGTGTGTGTCAATTCCTTTTCATGTGTATCTGCTGAAATCCAGAACAAGCCTGTTTAATTTTATTGCCGCAAGTAATTGACGCTTGTCATTGAAGTATGCAGAAACTTTTCAAAGTGTATTTCAATGGAAAATAAACAGAAGAAAAATAATCAAAATGTCAAAAAGGGAGTGAAATGTGCATATCTGGTCCATTTTTATCCAAAATCAAATGTTGTTCCGCTACCATTAAAATCATTTGCTTTGGACTCGGTTTCAGGCAGTGCTTTCTGCAAAGTATTTATGGTGTGTGGAGCTTTTTAATTTATCATGTTAACTCACTAAAGTAGAACTTGATAAGAAACGAGAACAAGAAGCTTGTGCCTGCAGAGCTGTCGGTGCATAATGATACAAAAGTGGAAGAAGAATTTAACGCTATCGTGAAGAAACATGTTACCAGTTTTTGTCATTGAGAAAAGTCCCAGCTTTTCGGTATTACCGTATTTTTCGGCCTATAAGTCGCTGTTCTTTGCATAATTTACATGCCCTGTGACGTATAGGCCGAAGCGACGTATTCATGGATTTTTCCACATATTTATAAACCAGTTTTTGCCTGAGATATGTCCGTTTTCATTCATTCTGATTGAAAAAAAAATGAACAGTATCATTTTCAGCCACTAGATAGAAGCAGAGTGGTAGTAGAAGTAAGGCATGCCGTTGAATCATGTAATAGGTAAAAGTGGCTATTAATGACAAATTCAAAAAAGTTCAAGACAAAAACAACTGGACTTTATTTAGAATACTTTATTGTTTTTGTCTTGAACTTGTTTGAATTTACCTTGTCCTGGATAACTGAGAATCTTCACCAGCTATTAATGACACAATCAGCTTGCCATAACCTGCCACCTTTTATTCTGCTCGCTGCTTGGAGCAACCGTCAAAACCAGCTGCACCGTCCCGGCGAAATGCAGCTAATTTGACCACTAAAGTGCATTTATTAAGGAAAAGTTCAACTGAGACACACCTTTTACTATAATTTTGAGCAAACAAATAATTGTTTTTAGGTGTTTATCTTGTTAAATTTCTAAGACATGCAGAGGCTCGACCCCCTGAATCCCCGCAAATCGGGTTTTGAAAAACAGATTTGAACGTCAAAGTTAATTTATTAAGCAAAAGTTAGATTAAGACACACCTTTACTATGATTTCGAGCAAACCATTATTTTTAAGTGTTAATCTTGTTAAATTCTTGTTAAAGTCCTCCTGTGTACGCTCCCGCTGTTGCTATTTGGAAGCCCATCGATTTTTGGCACAACACCGGCCCACATTTCTGGGTTGTCACCGCTGACTCGTAACAAACGCAACGCATCGGCGATGACTCATAATAGATGTGACGTATACGGCAAAGCGACATATTTATGGATTTTTCCACCTTATTAAACATATTTGGACTGATGCGACTTATAGGGCGGTGTGACGTGTACGCCGGACGGTGCGGTATGCTGTATTGAATACAGTGTATTCGATGAAGTTACTTCAGTCCTTCTTGGATCCAGACCTGCTGTTGCTTTGGTCTTTCAGACTTGGATATGGACTCAGGGGAGTCATGCATGGAGCTCATTGCTCCATGAGTAGGAGGATTCCTTCTCTGCTTTTGTAATCAGATCTGAGATTTCTAAGAAGAAAACCACTGAGGTTCAAAACGGATACAGTACTTCTGCTGGTGTCCAGACTGTGGGAAAATCAGGATCAACTGTGTGAAGTATGCACACAAGATGATTCAGTCTTTTTCATCTGCCAGGCATCTTGCACACTCCCTCTGAACTGATGCTGCTGATATCGTTAAAATGTGATTTTCTGTTTATCACTACGACTTAAAGCAGCTGCTTGACTAGTTGTTGTTTTTATTTCTTCGGCAGATGACCGTCTTGCCATGAACCCTCCTTCTATGATCGCCACGGGCAGCATGGGAGCAGCTGTCTGTGGCCTGCAGCTGGACCACAACGACCAAAGGCTCAGTCGGGACAACTTGACAGACCTGCTGGCCAAGATCACCAACACTGAAGTGGTGAGTGTCAAAGACAACGGAAGTAATCCGTCAAAACAATACAGTTACTGGCCAGGATTGTTGTATTGCACGTGAGCAGCATAAAACTTCTAGTAAACAACAAGGATGACTTGAGTAGTGGCAGACTGAAACTATTTACTTTTCATGGAGAAGGGGGAGAGCTAGCTCTTGGTTCTTGGCCGAAGAGCCAGACTGCTGCTATAAAGAGCAGCGGCAGAGGGAATGTCTTCTTAAAACTCAGAGCCCACATTCTTGTGGTGGGACGCATGCAGTTTCTGTGAATGCCTCCCACTTTTTCTGTGTACCCCTCCTGCTGGAGGAATATGTTTGCAATAAAGACGAGAAATATCTTTGTCTGTAGACACGTGAAGAAGCAAAGAGTTGTCGTCAAACCAGCAGAAAACAAGCCCCTGAAGTCATCTTTAAAATATATGTTGACACTGACTCCAACTGAATGTTACCATCTTATCATCATGTATTATAAATGTATACTAAAAGTGTGGTTGGACGTTAATAGTTTTATGGAAATGCATTGCTATTAACGTTCCTACAAAGTGACGCAAGTGCTGTTTGTCTTTGTGCAGTAATTTAATTGGCTTCTTTTTTTTTTCCTTTTAACTTCAGTTCTGGGTGCTGCAGACATTTTATGAATTTGCTCTGTGAAGGCACTTCCTGAGTCCTTATATTAAAGTAATATTTTTTGTTTTAAAGTGTGCAGTCAGCATTATTATTATATGACTAGATCTTTTCCTGCACATATAATGGAAGTGGACGGGTTTCTGCAACGATGTATTGTCTAAGCGTCATAAAGTATTTTAGGAGTTTAAATGCAAATTACGCAAAAAAAAAAGTCTAATCCAGCAATTTTTTTTTGATGTACATTAATTGTTTGGTTTTGTCCATAGAAATCCATAGAAACACTGTTGCGTTTTAGTTTGTGGTTTTGTTGCCATAGCGACCTACGTGGCCCCCTCAACATCACCGTCACAACAGGCACTCAGACAGCAGCCCATCAGGTTCCAATTATTGGTGTATTTTAAAGGAATGCTGGCCTTTTGCGAGCTTCGTCTCATTCTTTAAGGGTCCTGCAGTTGGCTCAGGGAGGCAGACCTCCCACATGTTCAACGCACAGACCTGCAGGGGTGGGGGGTGGGGGGGTTGATGGAGACAGAGAGAGAATTGCCTTTCATTAAAAAAAAAAAAGTTTTTCAAAAACATCCGGTCCCACTGTTCTGTGTTCTGTTTTACACCCAAATTCAGAGGGTCGGTGCAGTAGGTCAAAGCTATTTCCTCCAGACCTCCACATGAGGCTGACCGTGCCGTAAACCCAAGCTGGGGGGTGGGGGAAAGAATCCAGTGTTTCAGATGTGCGTATCTGTAGCCTGGTGGATCCCAGAGCCTTTTTAGGAACCCTGACTCCCTCGTGTGAACCTTTGCTCATTCGACAGTAATCAGCGGGTCTCATGTCAGACAATTCCTGTACCCACTGTGCCGCCTGCTGCTGTTGTTGGTGTTGGGAGTGTGCTTGGTACTTATTGTTCTGGTCATGATGCAGACTGGACCACCTACCTTCAAGACTTGTAATCCCCTGCTGGTATGCCAAGCATGTGAATAAAACTGAACAACTTTCATGTCAATTGCAGCAAATAATACCAGTGTTTTACACGCTAGAGTCTACATAAAGATGTAATTGAAATTCATCTTGCAATTGACTAGCAGCTTTTATTGTAAAACGCCTGGGAAAATAATTGTAAATAACATTGTTGGTCTCGAATAAAGTTAAGACCGCTTAAAATGAGCACAGTTTGTTCTAGCGCTTGTGTATAAAGTGAAGCATTCAGTTTAAAACTTTAAACGGATGCATTTTTAAGGATTTTTTTTTTTTTTTTTTTAACATTTCGTGTGCCTTTATTTCAAGTCAAGTTTAGTTATTCACATCACATAAGGTATATGAGGTGGAATGAAATTATGTACACAGGGTCCCAGTTGCATCCAAAAATAGCAAAATATACAGTGTAAAAATAAACGGTATATAAGGATCTAAGATCGACACTCAAGATATACACCAAACCCTAATAATGTAAATCAATACGGCGTATCAACAGCAGCCCAAACATGAGTCTGTGGTGAACAGATGGGTATGAATTTATACAGCAGCATGACATAATCAGCAGCATGGATAATCAGCAGCACAAATAAGTCGCATATCACCAATTAAAGTGGCATTACAGTGATTTCTTAACTTTTTTTAAGTTTTAGAATTCAGTCAGTTCAAACTAAAATACAACTACAGTAGTCCCTCGATACATCGCGGTTCGTTTATCGCGGTTTTTCAAAATAAGATTGGACATGACACACAATTGGCTGACTGATGGATGAGCCACACGATTGGCGTGAAATCTTTATTTAAACTGAATTATTTTAAAATGTTTAGCACCTGATGCACATTTTGTGCAGCCCATACTGCAGGATCAACTTCCTGCTGCAGCTGATCAGCTGTTCTCCATGCAGGGTGGGGTGGCCAAGAGTGCTTGCATGTGGACAAAAGCAGAGGAGGCAGGGAGCTGAAATCATGACATTGTGTGCTCTTTTAGAGCATTTAGAGTTTAGAAACATTGTTTAGAATATTGCAAGAATGTGGTAAGTGGGACTATTGTATTTCTATGTGGGTTCAGTTGAAATAAACTTAAATTTATGCTTAATAAAGGCAAATGTGAACAAAGAGACTTCCAATATGAGCATAAAGCACATTAGAAAGAAATTACAAATTTGCTGTAGAATGCGTTTGATGGAAGTTTATGTTTAATTACTAATTAACCTCTTTTTTTTTTTTTTTGGGTCTTGTCCCAGGACTGCTTGAGGGCGTGCCAGGAGCAAATAGAGCGCGTGTTGGCCTCTAGCCTGCAGCAGGGCCAGCAGTACCGGCAGGAGAGCAGCATCAGAGCCGGCAACAAGGCAAGGGAGCAACAAGACCAGTCAAGCACCCCGACAGATGTTCGTGATGTCAACTTATGAGCTCCCATCATCATCAGTTACACAGCACTCTTGCCTGCCGACCAATGAACTGACAGGAGTGAGGGGGGCGCAAGCTGCCAGTATCCACGTTAAGTTGTCCCACGAGTGATGGTGTGACAATCTATGAACTTTTAGATATTAAGAAATTTATAGTTTTTCACATTTTTTGCCCCATTTATGCCTTGTTTTATGGCGCATTTTCACCTTTTGTACAGGTCACATGTAATCGAACTATTTAAAAAGATGGTTAATCCTTGAAAGCTTGGGTTCCTAGAAAGGCAACCTAAAATATTTTCATACTTGAAAAAAAAAACCTATATGAAATATTCATATTTCTTTTGATAAAATTTAGCAAAATAATAAAATGATATATATGTAGCTAGCATTTCTTTAGTTTAACAATGTTTAGTGAACATTTATCGATTTTTTTTTTTTTCCTTCCATTGTTTGAAAGTGATTTTCTTCATCTGAAAATCCACACAGCAGCAATTTAACTGCTGATAATTCATTATATAGCATTCAAACAGAACTGATGTCCAGCTAGAGGATGCTTACTATTTATGAAGCGGAGTGGTGGCTCGGAGTGGGCTGGGCCCGCTCGCAGGAGGACCTGAAACATGTCTGAGGAGTAAAGCAGTAGCTACTGTTTCTAAAGCTACGGATTCCCCTGCCAACAGACCGGAGCGTTGAAAGGACCGTGTTGATGTGTTTGAATTAACCAGAGCTACATTGTTGTGCTGTTTTCCTGTGGCTCATACAAGTTCGAGCGCAGATAATTTTAGGAAAGGATTTTTGGCTTAGTCTGGTATTTTTAATGCAGTGTTTAAGAAGTGAGTTCTGGCAAGTTATTTTCACAAGGTTTTAGAGGAAACGAACAGGTTAGATGGTTTTCTTGAAGTGTTTTGATACAGAAAGCATGAGGAAAGTGTTTAAAAATGGAAAGTCTGGGTTGATGAATGATTGCAAACAGCAGTGAGGGCGGTATAACTTTAAGCTTTAAATTTCTGCAGTTGCACATGACAAGATTGATAAGAGGAGAAATGATCCCTAACAAGATTAATTTGGGTGTTTTGCAGTTCTTCCTTAAAAAAAAATAAAATAAGAATACCATGGAACTTGTGACGAGGGTGACATGGGCTAATGATGCACTTTGAAAACACTCCTTAAAATTGGTAAGGGGATGGTGGTTGATTTAAAATAAAATCAGTTTTGTTTTGATGGAGGTGTTTTGTTCTAGCTTTTCCTTTTTGTAAGTTATGTAGTTTTTTTTCTGGGCTGGATTCCCGTGGAACGATGCATGTTGTCTCAAAAGCTCTGCCTTGACCAAAGAGTAGTAGTCGTATCGGCGTTGTATCATATAAACCAAGGCAAGCCACATGTAGACTTCATTGTGTTTATTTAACCCTAAACTTGAATTTTATTTTATTTTTTCATTTCTTTTCGCTTCCTAACGATCCCATTCCAGTGGGTCTAAGAGTTGCGTACTTCAAATAATCTTTTTTTTTTTTTTGCTTCTGAACTGCAGTTTTAAAACAAGCCCCTGGTTGTTTTAACATGTACATAACCAGTTACCAAAATTTTTCAAAATCCAGACTTTGTTTTAGAATCTAAATGTAGTTTCTAAATTGTGTTGACGCTTGTTCGGTTGTGCTGAAAGCCAAATGTCCCCCCCCCCCCACCCCCCAAAAAAACAAAAAGAAAGCTTTGAACTGAAAAAAATGTCTACGGCTTTTAAATGTTGTGTTTGTACATTTCCAAAGTAAGAAAGATAATCTACAACAGTTTCTTGCTGCTATTAAGCTTTTTTTTTTCTAGTCTTACACAAAAATGCCTTTGTGTCACTTGTGTGCTGCTATAATGTTTTATATGTAACAAGTCAGCTTTTTTGTTTGTGAGAGGGAACGTAACAAAAAAAATGGATGCGGGACTGGAAGTTAATGTTTGCAGTCATATTTGATTAGCATGTTTTACTCATATATTTTTGAAGTTGTATTTTTTTGTCTTTTTTTGTTGTTTTGTTCTATCATATTCTTGCTGCTTCTTGTGTACCTCAGGATATTTAAATTGGATTGATAGAGCAAGAACCCATCTCACCAATACCTCATCACTTCACAATCACATTGTCTTCACTTTGATTTCTTGGACGGGTTTTATTTTTTGTTAAATGTCCTCTGCCAGATTCCTTTAAAAGAAAGGAAAAAAAAAGTGCCTGCAGCCTACATTTAAAAAAAGGCTAATTTCACATATCTGGTGCTATTTTAAAATACGATCAGCCCTCGTCTGTTTAAGCATTTATCAGAAAAAAAAAAGTTTTCTATTAAAACGTGTTGAAATCGATTCATTTTATTGAAATGAAATGTTTATTTTTGAGGTACCCTTTTACACAAAAGTTTGCAAATGTTCTGTGAGGTTGTTGGACTTCAAATCATTCTCCCACTGTCCCGTGCAACCACACTGTGTACCTCAACAATTTGTTCTCAATAAATTGGCTTTAATCACTTCTTGTTTTGTCTTTTGTGTTGCTTTACTTGTGTAATTTAAAAATAGTTTAAGAACAACTATTCAAATTATTTTATGATCCAAAATTTTCTAAAAAATCTCATTTACACTAGTATATCTAGACACTAATTTGTTTATTTTGCTCAAAGGGAAGGGTATTTTGCAAAGTTACGCTGCAGTGCGTCATGACGTAATGCATTACGTATGATTGCTGTTAACGTAACCAGGAAGTAGACTCCTTGAGAGTACGGTGAAAATGCTTAGGTTTTGTTTAACGTTCGTACGACAGTAAGTAGATTTTTTTTTAATATTTATTGATTCATTTGTTGTTTGTTTTAAATAAACAGTGTTTTGTCAGTTGGTGAACCATGTTGGCTAAGATAATATAATATATAATAATAATTTGCCGGCTAACTTGGCTAAAGTCGAGCTGAATTTGTCACCGTTTTAAACTATCTGCTGCCTGAAATAGTTTATTTTATTTTATTTTTTCGTCTAAATGTTGGAAATTAATGTAACTCTGACTATTTGTAAACAGTGGGGAGACACAGTACAACAGAGAAAAGCTGCTGCAAGGTAAGCCTCGATCACTGAATGAATGAAATGAATGTACGAATACTTTATTTATCCTTGAAGGAAAATCATTTGGAAAAATAAAGTTATTGAATTTATTTAAAAATGTTTAGAGAAACTTATTCAAAATAAAAAGCAGTTTTGAATGAAAGTAGCAGTATTTTTAGGGTTTAACTGCATTTTGTACGTTTTTTCCACAAATTGCAGTTTATTTATAGAAGTTTTTTGGGGTAATATGTAATTATTACTTTAAGTTTTTTTTTTACAAAATGGAAATGTACAATATAAGAGCCACAGAAAATAATGTATTAAGTAAATTAAAGTCGTGTGTATCTCTATACATGGAGGAAAACATTAAAATAATGATTTATAAAAATATATATATTTTAGTTCAAATATATTTAATTTAAGACAGGCTATATGGAAAGGACATGTAAAATCCATCCATTATCTTCCGCTTATTCATTATAATTTATTCTCATTTCTTTTTGATATTTGTACATTTATTGCTGAAATAATTAAATTCTGGTCAATAGAGGAACACAAAGGATTTGGATAATATTTAAAAAATTGAGATAGGCAAATAATTGGTCGTCTTTTTACCTTTAAATGCAAAGTTTGTCACTTTTTTTCTGTTTACACAGCAGTATATGATAACTCTAGGTTTGTTTGTTTTAGCTAAACTTTGTCTGTGTTCAAAAATATCCACGATTACAATTCAAATCTTTTAGGTCAAGGAGTGGACACTCCTCTGTCAGAAACGGGCATGCAGCAGGGGGAAGCGGTTGGTCAATACCTCAAAGACACCAAATTCAGCAAAGTGTTTGTCAGTAACCTACAACGAGCTGTGCAGGTAAGATATTTACCGGCACATACAAGGCATGACATCAACTGTGAATCTGTGCCTATTCAAAGCCCTTAAAATATTGTAAGTGTGCACTGAGCCAAAAAGCTACGTGATGGGTGAACGGTGTTCCAGTTAGAGCTTTTGACCTCGCTATTAACAAATACATGGAAAGTCAGTGGAAAAATGAGAATGTGTTGGCTTTTAAGAGAGACAAAAACATGATGCATGATGGGAATTATGGTCACATAAGAAATATTTGTATGAGCATTCATGTCTTTGTGGTCTTTGACTCACTGCTGCTGGTAAGTTATTACTGAGTTTGTCCAGAAACAATTAGGTGTTTGCAAACTCATTGAGTCAATAATCCCCAACTGGATTATCTTCTGCAGACAGCTGAAATAATTCTGAGGAACAACACCCACTGCTCTGGCATGGAGATGGTTTTGGAGCCTTTACTCAGAGAACGGGTAAGATCTGATGGATTTGCCCTTCTACTAAAAACAAAAGTTGCACATACTGTACAACGCTGCAGTGTATGTACGTTTGTCAGGTCTGAACTGTAGTTTTGTTGCTAACGAAGGGTTTTGGGATTGCCGAAGGCCGTCACAAAAGCGATCTGAAGAACATGGCCAACGCTGCTGGTCAGTCATGTCGTGATTACACACCGCCAGGAGGAGAAACTTTAGACCAGGTGAGTGGGATGGAGTCAGGGCTCATTAGAACACAAAGGGTGAGGTCGAGGAGCGTCTCCTTTATAATGGCACCACGTAGTGGCCAGTTTATGTCATTACACTTTAAAAAAATATATAAAGAGACAATTGAATCAACAGATTTTTTTTTACATAACACTAAAATACTGGCAACTTATTTCTGTCATTTTTGCTCATAGAAGTGCACATGCTGGTTCTTTGACTTTACTGATATTATTTTGCGTAGTTCTTGCTTGCGTAGTGTTTTTGTAAACAACTATTGAAATATGCCTTTTTTAATCCAGCAGATAAGAGTAAAGAGCAGAAAAAAGCTTTCATCACTTGAATGTAATTTTCAATTGGAGATTTCACTTTTTATGTTTTTAACTCGTTTTCAGAAGCAACACAAAAAAATGAAGAAACTATTCATCTTTTGCATATTTTCTGAAACAAATATCATAAACCAAACTAGTTTAAATTACATACATTATAGCTTGCTAATTTGGAAAGAAAGCTTTATTTAATAATAAAAAAAATATGGCACCGCTTCAGTTTGAAGCCTTCATTGTTTATTATTGTAGTCTAAAATCTAAGGCAACGTCTGCAACACATAGATCAGCATTTAATCAACTTGTTTCTGAAAACCATCAAATATACAAGAAGGTACGCTTTTCCTTTTAATACTGCAACTTTTATTTTTACGTATCGGTGCAGCTGGCAAATGTTTTCCTGTGTGTAAAATTCATTACGTTTCAGAAACTGTGAAAAGTATAAATTATCAGCACTTTTGCTTGTGTATAAGATCACAAGAAGTGTGATCATACGCCCCTTTAACAACACAAACACGTTTCATTTTTAGGTTGCTTTACTTGAGGGAGGGCTATCCTCTGTTGCCATGGCAACTTAGCTGCACCTATCACCCCAAAGGGAGAACGATGGCTCTTTAATTTTGTTGTTTGTTGGAACAATTAAAGGTTTTAAAGCTGACATTTTGCACTTATGGTTTGTTTGATGCGGCTAATGTACTTGTAGCTTTTTTTTCTCCTTGAGACAGATGAGAATTAAACAACTTTGTTTAGGGAATTCGGTTAAACCTTTTGTTAAGTTTGTACCATAAAAGCCTGAAAAATGTGAAATGAAAAAACAGCCAGCTACTCTACACTTGAAGACCTAAGTGACAGTGTTTTGTTGTTGGTTTTCTGCTTTAAAAATTGTTGCTGAATAATGGATAAATAACTCAGGTACATAGACAAAGACTATGACAAATGGTTCTCTGCTCGAACTTATGAAGACCAGGAATCCTGTTAATCTTTCAGCTTCACTGTCGCCCTGATTTCAGGTGAAGCTGAGATTCAAAAAATTCCTCAAAGTCCTTTTTGACCAAATGCTGGATGAGTACAGATCATCAGCACCGGATGCCTCCTCAGTAGCACAAGCGCCCGTCCCTGCTGCCCCCGACAGCTCAGCCGACGATGGCCTCCACGGAGTACCCGTTCACGTTTTGGTGGTGAGCCACGGAGCTTACATCCGCGTGGTCGTCAGGCACCTTGTGGAGGATTTGATGTGTGAACTACCTGCAGGTGTGAAGATGTCGCATCTGTTTTCACCCTGCCCCAACACGGGAATCAGCCGCTTTGTGCTCGGTCTGAGCTGGACCCATTCAGGGCCGGTGCTCTCTGCTGCCCGCTGTGTTTTCACCAACAGGAAGGACCACCTGGAAAACCTTCCAGCTGCTGAATAGACTGCTGTGTGTGTTTGAAGGATATTGAAACTGTCATGAACATGAAAATGAAAGACCACATTGTGGTACACATCAGCATGTTTTACTGTTCATCAGTAAATATATTTAATGCACTGTACTGTATTACTTTAGGAACGTAAGCCTCTAATGAAGGACACGTGCATTCGTTTAAATAATTTCTCCTTTTGTCCTTTAATACCAAAGTTCAAACTATTTATTTTAGCACTGATCTCTGTCAGTATCGTTGCATACTGATGTGTCTCCTGTGGCGGAGAGGAGCTGCTGCTTGTTTGACTCGTGCAATAAGACACAAAAACACTGAGCTGTAAAGTGTCTTCATAAAGGTTGTATTAAAGAAAACATGACTGTAAATACAAGTTGTACATGTGACGACTGTGGGTGGATTTCTGGTAAGGTGCATGCAATCTTTGTTTAACTTACCGTATTTTCCTCCGTAAATGTCGCTTTGCCGTATAAGCCGCATCTATTATGCTTCGCCACTGACAGCCCGGAAACGTTGGCCGGTGTTGTGCCAAAAATTGATTGGCTGCCAAATGGCAGCTGCAGGAGCGTGCACGGGAGGACTTTAACAAGAATTTAACAAGATTAACACTTAAAAACAATTATTTGTTTGCTTGAAATCATATCAAAAGGTGTGTCTCAGTCTAACTTTTCCTTAATAAATGCTTTTTAATGGTCAAATCAGCTACATTTTCAAAAGCTGATACGCGGAAACATGAACGCGTAGAGGGCGACTCGTCCATTTCTTCAAAATCTAACAAGATAACCACCTACAAACAATTACAGGTATTTGTTTGCTGAACTTTATAGTAAATGTGTGTATCAGTTGAACTTTTGCATAATAAATGCACTTCGACAGTCAAATCAGCTGCATTTCACCGGGATGGCAGCAAAATGAAGCTGATTTGACGGTTACTCCAGGCAGACGACGGTGGCAGACTATGGCAAGCCGTTTGTGTCATTAATAGCCACTTTTACCGATTACATGATAAAACGGCGTGCTATACTGCTCGAGTGCCATCTAGTGGCTGAAAATGGTAGTGTTCAATATTTTCAGTCAGAATGAATGAAAAGGGTTACACCTCAGCCAAAAATTGGTTTATAAATATCAGAAAAAAAATCCATAAATACGTCACTTCGGCATATAAATCACAGGGCATACAAATTATGCAAAAAAAAAACAACCTTGACTTATACAGTGAAAAATTATACGGTTACTATTTTTAAACTGAATGACAGAAATCTCCCGCCAATGAAATGATCTGATCATAAACTGCCAGCCTTTGAACAAAACAATTAAAAATCATTCGTTAAAGGAATGCCCTTTCATGCAAGAGTTTTAAACTGATATGTTGAAGAATGACAGAGTTCGAGTCCGTTTGATCAAACCTTCAAAACAGCACACAGTTTCATGCAATTTTACGAGATGTCATGCTGCTAATGACTGAGATACTGCCACATCAAATAGCTCAACATCTGTAAAAGCAACTGATTTGTAGCCATTTTCATATTGGCTAAGGTCAACTATGTGTGGTGCCAAACAGTAAATCAGTTGCAGATTATTCAGTGAACATTTGCAAGTTTAAATCAAATTCGTCCATTGGTTCTTGAGATATTTTGCTAATGCTACAGACAGCAACCATGGGTAAAAACATTATTGTCTTAGGTGGCGGGGGATAAAAATAAATTTCTGGAAAGTTCCTATTTAAGTAGTTTTCAATCTTGCTGTAAAGCATTTTGAGTATCTTGATTAGATAGAAAGGCGCTATACAAGTACAGTCCATTTACTTAATACTTTTAACTGCAGTCTCAGCTCTAGAGTCCGATCCATCGACTAAACATTTCAACAAAGAAGAATCCGTCCAGAAGACCTGACTCAACCTTGTTAGATTTATCTACCTGGATTATTGAGCATGCATCAAGGTATGCAGTCTGTTATTTTATTTTTTATTAACTTTTGACATTTAATAGTATTTAAAACATTCATATACTGTAGCTCCCTTTTAGGAGACTGAAGGACAGTTTGTGTAGAGGACTAGAATAAAAACTAACACTAGAATTGTGTTAAATGTTAAACTGAATGTTTTAATGGACAAATAGTTTTTGTAAAAAAAAAAAAAAACATGAATAAAGTGTTTGAATGTCACAATGTAGAACTATCTGGGAGGTCAAAATTATTCCTGTCACTGAAAGTTTGCACCACCTCCAAACCAATAAGAACATTTTGTTGTTGTTAAATCTACAAAAACGACTAATTTGAGTTTGTCATATTTGCACTGGACCGATTGTGACTGAACTATCAACCAAACACACTTTCATAAATATGAACGTTTTCTAATCAACGTTGACTTTAATTGTGAGGCGTTCAGGTGTAGATAAAATGATTTCAGCTGCTGCATCTGATTATTATTCAGGAAGGGTTCGACAAGTCTTTACTGCCTTTAAAGTTCCTCGCACAAATTGATTTGATTTGCCAGATCTTAGCACAAAACAACACACAGACACTTGTGGTTTTTATCAATTTTATTTAGCCCCACACTCAAATACCACTCCTTCCACAACAACTTCAGCTCATACATTCAAAGTAGACTCATGTTTTGGTACACTTTAACTGTAAAACATCCTCATAAATACCATAAATAACAAGCAAGGAATGGATTTAAATAAATAAATAGTCTTCGGGACAGTTTTTGTGTTTGCTGATGGTGCACAGCACCTGATAATTTCATAGATTCTACATTTAATTTACCCTGTAATTTTCTTCAAGTCATCTACTGGATGGTGTCATTTGTGGACAATTGTAATTAAAACTGCTTATTTGGTAAACACTTAAAATAGAATACTTAATACTAAAGGACTAATTTCTACTCCTATAAACATATTTATGTGGATATAGTTATAATTAGTGACGCCTGCCTGGTTCCACACCAGACAGGCTGTCCAGTCCTCCAGAGGTAGGATAAGTTCTGTCTTGGAAACGTTGTCAGACCAGCTGTTAAAACATTAATGACGTGATATTCCTGCAGGAAGTGACTACATCCATACTTTAAAGAACTTGATGCGTGTTCATAAATAAGTCAGCTGATGCTCAGTGTGAGAAGATGATAAGATGCGTGATTTATCTCCCCGTTTAAGATTGTCTTTGCAATGTAAATAAAATGATCTTAAGAGGGAAGCTGGTAACTTTAAGACTGTGCAGAAGAGGTTGTATACTTTACATTCAGTGTAGAAACACTGTTTTTTTTTTATTTATGACTAAAGATATAAGAAGTCGGTGAAAAATGAAGCAACTAAATTGCTCTATTATATAAAGTCTAATCATGAAGCTGACTGCATGAATTGTAAAGTGGTCCCTTGCAGGCTGGAGTCAGCCCATTCTGGTCCCAGTGGTCCACTCATTTGGAAGAGTGCACGTTCCAGGGGTCGTCAGAGGATGGAGCCAGCTGCGTCTCCCTGGAGACGTTGCGTCCATCGTCCCCAGCCTCTGTCTCTGTCTCCACCTCCACATCCAGGTCGGTGTCGTCCTCGGGAACCGCCCGGGAGTCAATGCCGTCCTCGGTCTGCAGGTAGACGTTGTGTGGGTCTGAAGGGTCCACGACCCGGTTCCTCTTCTCCCTGTGCAGCAGAAGGCGCTCCAGCGGCACCGTGTTCTTCTTAGGCAGGAAGAGAGAGGTCTGTGGCAGGTTCTGACCCACTGAGAACACCTGCCGGGAGCCCTCCAGGTTGAGCAGGATCCCAGTCCGGAGAGAGTAGTACACGTCCCGGTTGTTCTCCAGGAGCTTGTGGTTGAACAGACAGTCGTCTCTGAGACAGATGGGCTGAAAGAAGGAAATAAGAGCGTGACAAGAATCTGATCAGAACTGCTGTCAATCAACCAGACCAGAAAACGTGGAAATCAAAAACTGCCACACAAAAGGTGTTTCTTTTAAAACCAGTTCTACTTCCACACGTTTTTACTGGTGTATTATGTAAATGTGATGTTTATACATCACTAAATATAAAAAAGTGGTTTAAAATATATACGAAAACTGCGTTGTTGCAGAAAAAGAGGCGGAATTAGTTCTGCAAGTCATGCGTAAAAGTCCAGATTGGTGCCAAAGGTTCAAAAATCGATTAAAACTAAATGTGACCATTTTTGAGTCATTAAACAAAACGTAAACATTAAGATGAGATGGTACAATAAACGTGCGTACATGTGCTGCAGTGAGTTTCTGCGTAAAAGTACTGGACAACTGGTGCGTAAAAGCGCACCGGAAGCGTAAATAAGTTCAGTTTTTCGCAAAGAAGGTAATATTTAGTTTGTCGTCATGGTTAAAATAAAATAAAAAATTTACAAGTTGCTTACCGAGCTGAACGGGTTGCCCTCCAAATCCATACACAAATAACGGTTGCTTTTGACACCGAAGATCGCCACGCGCTCCCTTGTTTCAGCTTTCAGTAGAATTACACCTGCGTGGAAGAAAAAACACTTATCACTAAAGAACTAAAGAGAGATGCTACCTTTAAATAAATAAATAAAGTCTTACTATATGAAGATCTGGCTGTAGTTTTGCGCACAGTGCCGTCTAATTTGATTTCCAAGTAGAAGTTGTTGAGGTCTGTGGATGTCTGCAGGTGAACCAGTCGCCTCGGGTTCCCCCAGTTTGATCCAACCAGCGGTGACGGGTTAGGTGCCGCTTCCCAGACTGGAAAGCCCTGCAGGACAGCGAGCAGGAGCGCCAGCATGGTGTCCTTCATCCCCAGTCGCTTGTTGACGTCCTTCCTTGGTCAGCGCGGTGGTTTTCACTGCTGAAAGTTCTGGGATGCTCTGTTGTGCCAAGATTTGGTGACTATTTAAAGCCCCCGGAGTGCCACTCCTGCACACATCCTTTGCGTAAAAAAAAAAAAAAAGAAACTCGCCCCCAAAGCAGAGGTGCGGGTTGTTGTAACGGAAGGGCCACTTCCACCTCTGTCTGTTTATGCCAGTGCTGTTGGTCAAACAACAAGACTCTTATTTTTGGTTAGACCTCTTGACTCATCCATCTTAAATGGTTTCCTAATAATCATCTGGTTTAATTTGGAGCCGGAAGCTGCATTTGGCAAAACTGCATAATAAACAAAAAGTTTGGCTGTGAATCTGCAACGGTTTGTAATCAAGTCATGGATTTTATCCCAAAGCTAAAATTACAGTTCTATAATTTAGATAAATGTGGTAAAAAGAACCGTTTCTGAAGAAAATATTTGCAACTTTTGTTTAACACAAAAGACTGGACGTTTGCTCATGAGTTGCTGCAGTTGCGCACCTGCACAGATCCACATGTTCATTTTTTAACCAGCAGATGGAGACACTCTCTTATGTAGAATCAGGCCATCCGGGACCCTACATCAACAAACTTTTTACTGATAAAAATGCAGAAGAAACACCCCAAGGGAAACATGTACAGTAAATCCAAATAAAATTAGCCCATAGATGGATCCTTGAGGAACTTCACCATTAAAATGGACCGTAAAAGAAGATAAATTTCCCAATTTTAGGACGATTTTTAAAGATCAAATATTTATGTTTTGGGGAACCAGTGCTTTCCACCACAGAAATGTTGGAGGAGTGTTTATAAAGTAATCAGCCGGTTAAGTAAGAAGCAGTTCTTGATGTCGGATCGACACAAGTGATATGAGGAACCTGAATCGGTACTCTTACAATCACTTGCACTACAGTGCCTTGCAAAAGTATTCTGCCCCCTTGAACTTTTCAACCTTTTGCCACATTTCAGGCTTCAAACATAAAGATATAAAATTTTAATTTTTTGTGAAGAATCAACAACAAGTGGGACACAATCGTGAAGTGGAATGAAGTTTATTGGATGTGTCAAACTTTTTTAACAAATATAAAACTGAAAAGTGGGGCGTGCAATATTATTTGGCTCCCTTGCGTTAATACTTTGTAGTGTCGCCTTTTGCTGCAGTTCCAGCTGCAAGTCTCTTGGGGTATGTCTCTCTCTCAGTTTTACACATGGAGACACTGAAATTCTTGCCCGTTCTTCTTTGTAAAACAGCTCGAGCTCAGTGAGGTTGGATGGAGAGCGTTTGTGAACAGCAGTCTTCAGCTCTTTCCACAGATTCTCGATTGGATTCAGGTCTGGACTTTGACTTGGCCATTCCAACACCTGGATACGTTTATTTGTGAACCATTCCATTGTAGATTTGACTTTATGTTTTGGATCATTGTCTTGTTGGAAGATAAATCTCCGTCCCAGTCTCAGGTCTCTTGCAGACTCAAACAGGTTTTCTTCCAGAATGGTCCTGTATTTGGCCCCATCCATCTTCCCATCAATTCTGACCATCTTCCCTGTCCCTGCTGACGAAAAGCAGGCCCAAACCATGATGCTGCCACCACCATGTTTGACAGTGGGGATGGTGTGTTCAGGGTGATGAACTGTGTTGCTTTTACGTCAAACATATCGTTTTGCATTGTGGCCAAACAGTTCGATTTTGGTTTCATGTGACCAGAGCACCTTCTTCCACGTTTGGTGTGTCTCCCAGGTGCTTGTGACAAACTTTAAACAACACTTTTTATGGATATCTTTGAGAAATGGCTTTCTTCTTGCCACTCTTCCATAAAGGCCAGATTTGTGCAGTGTACGACTGATTGTTGTCCTATGGACAGACTCTCCCACCTCAGCTGTAGATCTCTGCAGTTCATCCAGAGTGATCATGGGCCTCTTGGCTGCATCTCTGATCAGTCTTCTCCTTGTTCGAGATGAAAGTTTAGAGGGACGGCCGGGTCTTGGTAGATTTGCAGTGGTCTGATACTCCTTCCATTTCAATATGATTGCTTGCACAGTGCTCCTTGGGATGTTTAAAGCTTGGGAAATCTTTTTGTATCCAAATCCGGCTTTAAACTTCTCCACAACAGTATCTCGGACTTGCCTGGTGTGTTCCTTGGTCTTCATGATGCTCTCTGCGCTTTGAACAGAACCCTGAGACTATCACAGAGCAGGTGCATTTATACGGAGACTTGATTACACACAGGTGGATTCTATTTATCATCATCAGTCATTTGGGACAACATTGGATCATTCATAGATCCTCACTGAACTTCTGGAGTGAGTTTGCTGCACTGAAAGTAAAGGGGCCGAATAATATTGCACGCCCCACTTTTCAGTTTTTTATTTGTTAAAAAAGTTTGACACATCCAATAAATTTCATTCCACTTCACGATTGTGTCCCACTTGTTGATTCTTCACAAAAAATTAAAATTTTATTTCTTTATGTTTGAAGCCTGAAATGTGGCAAAAGGTTGAAAAGTTCAAGGGGGCCGAATACTTTCGCAAGGCACTGTAAATCATGGCACACTTTCAACAGCCAGTTAAAAAAAGCAAAACAAACTTTTATTGTTTAGTATCTCAGGAATACAATAAACTGCTGTGCACAGCACATACGTACAAAAATAAAAGGAAAAAACTTTACTCAGCATCTCTGTTATCAGAAACAAATAGCTAAACTTTGTTTCTCGTCATTTTACAGTGATCAGCAAACCAAAAAGTATAAGGCAGAAGGTGAGGTATATGATAACGGAGGAGAGGAATTGAGTGGAGGCTCAGTCCAACAAATAAAAATAACACATGAAGCGCACACCCCTTCGTCAAACTCCGGACTCAGGCATGCTAATATACATTCAAACATTAAAGGAGATTATCCTCACCTTAACTTATTCAAACCTGAGCTCCAGTGGAAAGAAAATAAAGAATCAAGACATCCTTGTTAAGGTGCAAAAACAAACATCTTGATGAAATCCTCATTGCTGTGCATGCACAACATTTACTTCCACGCCTTCCTCAGTTAAACTCAATGAAAATTAGGATTATTTTCATGTTACTCCTGACAAGAAATGTACATCAGTGCATCGACATGCAGCTTCATCTACAGCGGCAACTACGTTCTTTTTTAAATTTGGCTCTTCTGTGTTTCTGTCTGTGCTTGCAACAGTGGAAACAAATATGAGATTTATGTGAATTATAATACGGTCGTGAATTGATGTGTGTGTTGTGGACAAGTCGAGCACATACTCTGTCAGCATGTGGCGACTGGGGGGTCGTTTAGGGTCAGAACAGGAGCTAGATGCAGGGGAGTCCTCGCAGCAGCCGAGGTGGCTTAGCTACATCATCTCCGCAGATGTCTCCATGGAAATATTCCAACAACAGGACTTGGAAGAAAAAAAAAGGAGTGAATAGCATCTTCAAGTCCTGCATTGTTCACAGGTTGGGTTTGAAATCTCTGGAAGCAAACTGGTCTGAGGAAGAAAAACTTACAAATGTGCTGCGTTGAAACACGAATGAATGTTGAACCCACGTCAAAAAGATATTTTAAATTCCTCTTTCAGACTAGGGATCACTCCGGCCACAGAGGTTGAGGCAAAGGCTGATCAATGACTCTGACCTTGAACTAAAAAAGGCTGAAATAAGAGGAGGAAGCTCGCAGGTTACAGCTGGAATCCAAAAGGGTGAGTTGTGGGGGTGAAGGTTGGGGGGTATACGCACAAGCAGAGATGGGTAGCCGAGCATTTTATAGTTCAGGGAAGCTGCCTGTCATCCTGGCAGATTCACATTCCTACAGGGGGGTTTGATGAACAACATCCGTGCCGACTCTGTTGCATACGCTTTTTTTTTTTTTTCTTCCACTCACAGGAATGGATGGCTGATGGTGAGACCAGCCTCGGTTTTTTGGTATTTTTTTTTAAGTCAACAGCTGCAGAAACTACACCAGGAGATGCACTCTAAAGGACTTTTGGGAATTCAAAGAATGAGACTAGAAAAGCATCTTTGGAATATGTAACAAGATATTTGAACATACTAACAGTGAGTCTTTGAAGCACCTTCGACTTTGTGAACAAACTGCTTCTTTGTTAAACTTTGCTGAAGTTTTCATGTTTAAACTGAAGCCTTAAGGTAGAAATGTAGACGCTAAGTGAGAAATTCTTATTCTGTGCTTCCAGGCTACCAATTATATTGTAATTTAGTCCTTCCAGGTACAAAACACTCATCCGTAATTGCATTTTAAACCATTTGCCTCCCTAACGATTGCAGTGCTGCTTCAGAAAAGATAGACAGACAGGGTAATCCAGCATCCTTCAACAAACATCAATCTGAAGATAAAATGAAGGAAGACAAAAAAAAAAACGCTGATGAGAACAGAAATGATTTTGTGATTTTGCTGGTTCATTGTGCAGCTCCAGCTCTTTTGTGCTAAAAAGCTCTTGAAGCCTCTTTATTTCCCCGTTTGTAGCTATTTACATAGTTTTCCGTTCATTTTATTAATTTAGTAAACAGCAGCTAAAGCTTTGCATTTCAAAAACAGCAGCAACCCACTTTACTGTGGGGGCTCTTTCTTTCAGAGACAGAGTGCAGGAACTGCTTGCTTTAACCGCCCAGGCGATACTTGTGCGTTTCTCCATGCTGCAGCAGATTAGTATTCCACCCAGGTCTCAACCACAGATTGTTTATTACTTAATCTGTCTAATTAGAGGAAAGAAAATAAACCAAAAATAGTTGACCCCCCCCCCCCCCCCTCCTCTTCCAAGGACCTCTCTGGAGTGTCAGCCCTATTTCTGACTCCTCCGGGTGTCTCTTACACGGAGGTTTTAAAAGGGCCACAAGTGAGAACACCAAGGCACCTTTAACTCGTGCAGGAAAGGTAGTGCATTGAAGTTTCCCCCCCAGCTGCAGGACGTCAATAATCGACTGGGGAACCATGAAGCATTTCAGAGGGTTTTGAACAAAATGGTCAACTTAACAGACATTTCAGCAGAGGTCCATGCATCCCTTCATCTAGTAAAGTGAGGTAATAAAAAGTATTCATTTCACCCTTTAAACGCACAATATAGCTCATCCTCCAACTCAGAGATGTAACGTGTAGTTCAGTTACAGCAAGCACCGAGGTCAAAGACAGGCAAAGGCTTCAGCTCTCCCATCTATAAAAACAATAAGCAGCACATATACAAAGACAGCTATCCAAATATACACACATATATATTTATATATGTATAACAGAATAAATATTTGTGTTCTTTTGCAGTCCATGGGTGCTAATGTCATGACATTGCATTTCTATATTACCTGGAAGAACATCCACATGTGCAAATTATTCGGTAATTGTCTTTTTCTCTCATAGCCGCGGGAGGAAATGTGTGACAGTCATGGCGGTGCTAGCCTTGTTGCCTCTCTTTACACGGCCATGCTTGCTGAGGGCGATGTAGAAGCCCTTGTAAACAAAAGACTCGTAGGCGTTGTAGTTGTTGGGCAGCAAAGTCTCCTTGAACTTGCATTCATCCCTGAAGGCTCTCTGGAAAGACAAAAAAAGGAAGTCAGTAACTTTCTCTTTGTTTAAACAACCTGACAGAGCATCGCGCTTTGAAGGGGACAATAGAAAGTGGAAATGTTGCTGCAAAAAGGGCTCTTTTCAAATGCAGCCGCTAGAGTTATGCTTTTATGTCTGTACATATTGAAAATCCCAGGTAATCTGGTTGGAAAACCAAATTAAGTCTAATCCAAAGGAGTGATGAATGATCAAAAGATGTCACAGTCCGGTCAAATCAAAGTACTGTATTTTTCAGATTATAAGGAACACTTAAAATCCTTAAATTTTCTCAAAAATCAACAGTGAGCCTTATAATCCGGTGCATTTTATGTATTAATTCTGGTTGTGCTTACTGACCTTGAACCAATTTTATGTGGTACACGGCGCTCAAAAATGTGTCAAAATGTTTTAGTTTCACTTAATGCCCCTTATAATCCGGTGCGCCTTATAGTCCAAAAAATCGGTAAACAACGCTGATGCAGATTTAAACCTAATATTTTACATCCTGGTTATTTCAATCTGTTGTTGAAGTGCCAGTGTTTTCTTCAATACATAACTGATCAAAGTAAAATACTTGAAATAAGGAATCAGTACGAGACTGTGATGTACAATATTTAGGGATTTGTTGATGACATTACGAGTGACTATAGGCCTGTCACGATAACAAATTTTGCTGGGCGATTAATTGTCTCAGAAATTATTGCGATAAACGATAATATTGTTTGAAATTTGACAATAATTACTAATTATTGCCAAATTTAAGAAGAAATGTTGGTTAATTTTTGTGTATAGTACTTTTTTGACCACCAGATGGCAGTATAAAACTATTTGAACCGAAGGATGGATAGTGAGAGAGTGAGCAGCGTGTTTCTTTAAGAAAAATGGGAGGGAGGCCCCTTGACGTGACATGGGCTGTCTCTCTTTACTTTTTTCGGTTCTCAAAATGGCGGACGATCTGTGTGGTTTGAGCTCTTTAGCATAGCATTTGTCACACAAAGCTTTTAATTAAAAATCAGTAAACAAGTTCTCAGCTTCTTTTTACAGAAAAAAAACCTTTTTACACAAAGGCACGGGTTTCAACCATGAATTTTGGAGCTTCGACAAGACAGAAGTTTTTTTCCCCAAGGTTGGCCTGTTAGCTTAGCTTGTAGCTTAGCTTTTCAGCTTAGCTGATTTCAACGATCCAGAAACACAATTTTGGACGGTTAAAACAGATTTTAAAGAGAAAAGAGGAAGGGAGGGGTCAGTGAAGAGCACCGGAGTTGAGCCTTTTGTCTTCAGTTGAAAGAGAGAGAGACATGAAGAAACGATAAAGCCGATAAATGAAAATGAGGTCGATAATTTTCATTTATCGTGATTAATTGATTTATTGTTTATTACGACAGGCCTAAGTGACGATATTTATCACCTGCAGCCTAAAGACCAATCTGAGGGTGATGATTTTCAACACTTTAGTTTGTTTTACCCTGTCCTCACTGATGGTTGGTCTATGTATCTATTACAAATAACCTTTGTAAAAACTGAGTACATGTTTTTCTATCTGGTGTAGTGTTCATTCTTTACTTATCCAGTCTTCATACATGTTTGAAAAGATCTTTTTTTATATATAAATTAGGGATTTTATATTTCTTTAAAGCCCCTGTTAATTGAGTGTGTCTGACTTTTGGAAACACAAAGTTCATTTTACAGATACCATGCCTAAATTTAGAGTGGTTGAAGCAGAGTCAAACTCATTGTGTGTGGTCTTTGCTTAAAATGTTAGCATTAAGTTTTGGAGTCAATCCTTGAACCGAAGGACGGACTTTAATGAAACTTTCAAGAAGTAATCATTAAATGTACATCAACAACTGATTTTTTTTATTTATTTTATAATCAGTCCAGTTCAAGTTGGTCACCACAACTAAATGACATCATCCAACACAAAACTGACTATTGTCTAACTCTGCCCCTATTATAAATATTGAGCTAAAACTGAACATTTTAGCGCCTGATAGCTGTCCCCAGCATATTTTCTCAATGTGACATCTTGCAATATCACAAGGTTACATTGAACATTTCCAAGGTTTGACAAAAATGGCCCCAACTCAGTCATTTCTCGACATAAGCTGATTTTAGTCTAAAATTCTGGCATAAAAGACGGCACATCCTTCAATGGCTTTAATTTGTATTGTTTATGAATATCAATAAAAATAATTATTGAACTATACTGTATAAATATAAGAACTATAGAACAATTGGGGGGGGGGGGGGGTTAAAACTAATGCATGCTCACTAATCCAAGAATTAGTCAGAACCTCTGGATGAATTTTTGTTTTGTTGAAATGTTTCGTCTTTTGTCCAGAAGACTTCTTCAGTCTGAAACCCTGCAAGAAACAGTCTTATAAATAAATAGCACCTTGAATCAACCAGTTTGCTGCTGACAGCCAGAACAAAAACAAACAAACAAAAAACACTTTTGCATGTGAACAACTAGTTCTGGCTGTCAGCATCAAACTGGTTGATCCAAGGTGCTATTTATAAGACTGAGTTTGTTGCAGGGTTTCAGACTGAAGAAGTCTTCTGGATAAAAGACAAAACGTTTCAATAAAGAAGAATCCATCCAGAGGACCTGACTTAACCTTGTTAAGCAGTTTAAACTATATGTTATGGCTATTTTAACTTGTATAACCTAAATTCTTAATATAGAATCAAACCATTTTAGTTTCACTGCTCTTAGCTAATCTATGCGCTTCGGTTTCTGTTTGATCAAATCAACTAAAACAACAACAAATGAACGGTTTTTTAAGCATTGCTAAAATGTTTTACTCGGGAGCAGTATTGGAAAAAACACATGCTCTGAGTTTTAAGGGGATTAGACTTGATTCAGTAGTATTTAAGTTTTATTATGATAGGGAATCCAATAATGCTGCAAAATGTTATTGGGTGTGAGATTAACATTGGACTGAGATGATCAATGGCAGAAGTTTTCCTTTTAATTGTTATATATTAATAGATCAGGGCTCAGCAGAAGATCTGAGCTCCCCCCTCCTATCATCAGAGCATATTAATAACAAAGCATCCTGTATAAAAGTGGATGCAGCAGCTCGTGAACTTCCAGTCAGCAGGATGTGTGACAGGAGCTGCACTGTAAGCCTACCGTTCCATATAACCTTCCTCTGCTGTTCATTGCGACAAACAGCTCACTCTTCACCCCGAACAGGCTGATCACCCCTCGGTCCACAGTGGAGATCTCTATTAGACCTGCAGGAGACACAAGGGGGGACAAAAAAAGTCAGTGTGCTCCTCCAGCACTGGCCTCTGCAGCAGTGATGGGTGGAACCTTGCAGGTGCACTGCGACTTGGATGATGCTCAATGTGCAATAATCAGCTGTATTATGTGCATGCTGGACAGCGTGCGTGAAGTTTAAGAGCGTGCTGAGTGGGACATGAGTGTGTCCTGCTGCAGGGGACGCAGGGTAAAAATAAGTCAAGCATTCATGTCATGTTTTTGGCACGAGGAGTGGGGTGGGGGGATTCTTTGCACAGCACGGATGCAAAGCTCTGTGCACTGCTTTTAATGTGGGAAACTTTCATGCACGCCGACGCTGCTGATTAAATATCACGCACAGAAAAGCGAGGCTCCAACTTTCATGCGAGTTCATGCAACTTACTGTAAGGGTTCTCACTGTGCACACCGCTTATCCTGCCATCCGGGAGCACCTGCAGGTGAAACCCAATGCCCACGTTGCAGTACAGCCGCCGCACTCTTTTGATGCCCTGCAAATAGTCGCTCTCCCAGTTCAGCTCCGATTTGCCCCCGTTTATACCCAGATAGGAGCGGGAGAAGAGGCTCTCCCACTTCCTCTCCAACAAAGTAGCATTAGTCCTGCTCGGAATCGGATAGGATGAGGCGATCCCCCACAGAGAAGTCCACAGAACAAGGACTGCTGGCAGCGGCCAGTGCGTCCCGGCCCCGTTGCGCATGCTGTTGTGACACCTTTGCGCAGTGACCATCCAGCTTACCTTCCGGGCGCAAAGTTACCTGCCCTGAAAACGCAACTCTTCTTATTCCCTGTCCTTTAGCATGGTGGCGGCAAAGGCTTATTTCGGGATCAAGGCCATAGCCCAGAATCTGAGCAGGAGGTGAAGGACAGAACGCGTCGGAGCTTGAGTTGGTGCCGGTGGCGATGACCATCTTTCGCCGCTCCGCTGTCCGTGGAGGTGGGGTGGGGGTGGGGGTAGGGGGGGAGACACCACTCAACGCAAAACCAGCACACCTTGCTCCCCAATTCTCTCACATCCTGTGTGACATCACTGTGACTTCACCGCTGCATGCAGCTCCCATTCAAAGCAGGAGATGGGAGGAGGAGAGAGCTCGAAGACCTCAGCAGCGGATCTGACACCAGTGATGGGGGTGGGTGGGGGGGGCTGCACCTTCACTCCAGCCTCAGACAAGCAGCAAGGAATGAGAAGAGGAGTTTCCTGCTGCGCCTTTCAAAATAAAAACCGTATGAGCTGTGCAAATCTGATCAACCTATAAGCCAAAAGCAACTTTTGGTGTATTTTACTTTAACAAAAAATAGCACTACAGTTGCATCCTTAATGTGTCAGGTAAACTATTTATTTAGCTTTAAAGAAAACCATCATAAGCAATTACACAAAGTGTTGCGAAAACAGCATTCACCTCCTTAGAGATTTCTTCTGCTTTTGTTCTCACCTTCATGTTTTAGATGATCAGACAAAAATAACCAGAGAAAATACAAATCAACGTTTTTAAAATGACAATTTCTTTTACAAAGGAAAACTTGACCATCCTCCACATCAAGAGGAGCCAGTAAAAGGGTATCTGATGCTCCCTGCACCTCCTTAGGGAGGTGCTTTCGGGCATGTCCAACTGGGAGGAGACCCCAGGGAAGACATGCTGGAGAGACTACGTCTCTTGGTTGTCCTGGGAACGCCTTGGAATCTTCCCAGAAGAGCTGGAAGAGGTGGCCGTGGACAGAGATGTCTGGACCTCCCTGCTCAAACTGCTGCCCCCGAGACCCGACTTTGGAACAAGCAGAAGATGATGGATGGATGGATGGATGGATGGATGGATGGATGGATGGATGGATGGATGGATGGATGGATGGATGGCAGTCTTTTACAAGGCAGAATGATGATGTTCTCATTGTTCTCCTTCAGAACCCAGAAGAGTTTAGATGCTCAGTTTAAATTTTATAGCAGAAAGGAGAATTCATGGTTCCATCAATTACAGCAAGTCATCCGAGTCCTAATGCAGCAAAACAGCCCCAGACCATCACACTTCCACCCTCGTGCTTCACTGTCAGTATGTCCTTTTTCTGTAATGCAGTGTTGGTTTTACATCAGCGGTAACAGGACGCACATTTGAAAAAGTTTGACTTCTATCTTGTCAGGCCACAGAATACTTTCCTAAAAGTCTTGGGGATCATTTGGATGCTATTATTATTTTAATTATTATCATTAAGCAACTATGAGATGGGCTTACGTGTTGTTTTTGCTCAGCAGTAGTTTTTGTGCCATTTTCATTTCTTTTTATTAGTAAATCGTGAACTAAGGCCTGCAGCGCTTTAGATGTTGTTCTGAGTTCTTTAGGAAACTTATGGTTGAGTCATCTATGCACTTTTAGAAATATTATATAGGTCGTCCAATCCTGGGAAGGTTCAGCACTGTTCACGTTATGTCATTTGTGGATGTTGGCTAGATTTAAGGGATTTCTTTGTTCTTACAGGTCGTGGCAGTCACAGTTAATTCACAGTCTAACAAGGGGGATGATCAGTTTTTTAATGACTTTTTAAAATTGTTTTCAAATTTTATTTATTAATTAAATCATCGTTTAAAAAATGCATTTTGTATTCACTCAGAATATCTATGTCTGAAATAAAAATAAATTTGCTGAAACGTTTATTTGTGATAACAAAAAGCTCAAATAATCTGTAAGGGTGAAAGACTTTTTAATACCACTTTATAATCTTGGGAAAAATAAACATTTTATCTTTATATTACAGTACTTAAGCTAATTCAAAACAGAAATCCCACATTTAATGCATTGCAGCAGAAAACTTTCAGTTTTGCATCACATTTTGTTTCAAATTAATGATTTTCTCACATTTTAATAATTAACGTTCTGCTTTGTGATATTATTTTGAAAGTGAACTAACCTATTTTTTAGTCTTCCTTTTAATAAATAGACCAACTTAACCTGACTCTTCCTCACATGGGAGACCTGAGATGGGGAGGGTGTGTGAGAGAGAGAGAGTTTGAGCCATCACAGGATGGATGGATGGATACTGTGTCCAGAACCCAAATCGGGGACGGCGGTCATATGTCCTGGCAGCCTGCGGCCTTATTTAGAAGGAAGGTGTAAAAACAGTCTGAGCAGAGCAAATGGCAGTCCTGTCTGACACTTCCTTAGCTGTTTGTCCAGGAAGTTTACCCAGCCAAATATTCTGCCAGGTCAGATTGCGCATCATTGTTGCAACTAACACACCGCAGCATCAAAAGATAACTGGCATGAATCAAATTTATTAGCCTTCAAGTACAGAAGGATTACAAAATAGAATGTAAATAGAGCCGGGTGAATGACTGTAAAACACATTCATAAGTATAGACAAAAATATTTTAAAGTAACAAAAACAATGCTTGATGATTTGTATTTGTATTAAGATGTATTGAGACCTGTAAGTGCAGCGTGTTTAATAAAGTGGACAACTGCAGGACAAAAGAAAACGTGTTGGTCAACAGAAATATAAAAACAAGCCTAAAATACTAAAAATATCCAATAGTTATATCTGTAGGGAAAAAAAAAAAAAACATCAAAAATCGGACACAGATGCATCATCTTTCAATTTATCATCTACATCATATGTGTCAAACTCAAGGCCCAGGGGCCAAACGTGGCCCTCGTTGACATCTTATCTGGCCCTCAACATGATATGTGAAATGTAAAATACTTCTATCTTTTGAATTTTTTTCAGTAATCTTTGATTGTGATGTCGAAAGCACAACAGGGAACATCAAATGAGACCAATCAAACTATTGTTGAGGAACCTGTGACCAAGAAAAGATGCTGGGTATCTGATTTGAGTTCATGTAGATTCTGAAATTGGCCCTTAGTTTGAAAAAAGGTTTTAATTTTGGCCCCCTGACACCCCTGATCTACATGCATGTCATGTTTTTAGCGTGTTGGTGATAAAATGCTATTTATCTTTGATGTTTGTCATAGATTCAGCTTAATTCAAGTTCACGTGTCTTTATTGTCATTCACATGACATGTGGTGCATGAGGTGGAACGGAATTGTGTACTCAAGGGCCCAGTGTAGCTGTTTTTGTTTCGTTTTTTTTTTAATATAATTTTCTTTCATTAATTTTTTTTCCCCAATTTATATGCTTTATTTTACTGTTGTCATCACTCTTCGGTAAAATCAGGTCCCTCTTGAACCTGTATAAATAAAGGCTGAATGGAAAGTTACACCCAAAAATAGCAAAAATATAAAAAGTATATAAGGATCTAAGATATACACTAATATATGCGCTAAATAAGCACTAAACAATACGTTAAAAGATCTAAGATATGCCCTAAACACTAATAATGTAGAATAATATGGTATATTAAACAGCAGCCCGAACATGAGTCTGTAGTGAGCAGACAGCAGCATATCACTAATTAAAGTGTCATTACAGTAATTTCTTTTTTTTTTTCTTACAGTGATTATCCTGGTTAGATATTCATGAGTCTAACAGCTGCAGGGTAGAAGCTGTTCCTCAGTCTAATGGTTCTACACTTAATGCTCCTCAACCTTCTACCTGAGGGGAGCATTTGAGTTTAGGAGCCTTTTTATGTCTGAGTCATTCATAGGTCAGAGTTAAATGGCTCAAAGCAGCATTTCTCTGAAAATGATCACGTGCTGGACATAAAAACATTGAAAAAGTAGCCAAAGAAGTCCAAGAAAAACTTTAAAACACCTTCAGAAAGCCTGGAGAACTGTACTGATCAAGACCACATAAATGGAGGATGTCTCAATACTTTTGATACAACACATACAAAGCATTTAAATATAAATCACCATTACTGAAGCAGTTTATACACCTGGAATTAAAATTGTTTTTCTTAAAAAATACATAATTTTTGGTCTTTTTTTAATTCTTGATCGGCAATTTGGATCTTTCTGAATGTCAAATTAATGAGACAGGCTCCTGGTTTGCTGTGTAAGCACACAGCCATGCAAACCAAGACAACCAATAGCCTGAATAGACAGAACTACTGGGTTATTGACAGAGCGGAACAAAAATCAATGAGAAGTTGGCTCGTTAATGAGATAGTGCTGAGCTCTTCAGATTAACTCAGCTAATAGTGTTACACTGGTATGATGCTGAGGCTGCTCTTCAGTAATGACTACTTTCTAAAATTAAAACACAAAAAAATCAAAGGCAAATTGACCTTTTTGCTGGAACTGCACAAAAATATATCTTATTTACATATTGTTTACATTTTAATGAAGCCGTTTTAAACCAGAAATCAATAGGATTTTACAAACCTGTGGATAAATCATTATTATTTATTGTTTTGTTGGCTAAATTCGGTATCCCAATTCAGATATCTTTGTTCAGCCATGTTTGAAGGATAACTCAAACGGTTGTTAGATTTTATTGTAATAATTTATTTGCCTGCGCGTTTACAATAATTGGTTTTAGGCGGCACATCTTTTTATAGACGTTACAAAAATTCCCATGCCGGCTTCTACGTCATTCTTTCTCTCTGCAGAGAAAAGTCAAATTGCTAACAGGTAGACTGAGAAAACAATACCTGATTGAAAAAACAAATTAGCAGGGCTTTTACAAGCTAAAATTGTGAAAAAGCCTTATGAGAGCACAAACAACGATGGAAGAATCTACCGGTATTTTCATTTCAGTCACTGAAAACTTTTATGTTTTCTTTTTAAATGCCTGGTTATTCAATATTAAACCCTTTTAAAAGTCAAAACTCTTATAGAATGCATGCCTTAAAATTAGTGTATGCCTGTTTTCTACTTGCATTTAAATCAAAATAAAGAGCATTTGTCAAAAAAAAAAAAAGTAGCATTTGTCTTTTGGTTAAGAA